TGTGTGTGTGTGTGTGTGTGTGTGTGTGTGTGTGTGTGTGTGTGTGTGTGTGCAAAGTGAGCAGATAAGCTGTTACCAACAGAGGGCAGCATCACTTCATCTTGTTAAGTTGTAAGAAGCCCAGATTGTACACATTTAAAGGCAATAAACTAGAGGTTTATTTACAAGAAACAAGATACTTTTAGCATATATTTACTATATGAAGGCTTTATTCTTTAATAATGATGAAAAAAGGCTAAAATACAGAAGAAAATTGTGAGTTYCAGGAATAATCTTTATTAACTTTTCATAAAACCTAACTGAAAAATTGCTTTTTTATATATAGAATTTTGCATCAAATTGACTTGTCTGACATTTTGTTACATTTTTACCTCTTTTGTAATKAAAARTAAGATATGGTCTTTAAAGTTGCAAAATCTTTGAATTGYTTTTCTTCCCCCCAAATAAAGTTCAAAGAAAAAGAAATCCACTGAATTCCAAACTAATATCCCCTGTGGCCTAATTGTTGTTTAACACTGTTTCTATCCAACTCCTGAAGCATGAAACACAAGTGTAGACATCGGGGGTCTTCTTGTCTCCACATCGGTTTCCAGAGAAGGAGACGATGCCTGCTGCAGCTCCCTCACACACCAACGGACCACCTGAATCCCCCTGGAAGGAAACACAAGACATTTAAAAGTTTGTAGCCTATTTAAAATACAATGTTTTTTCGGGCTGAATATGACTGGTTTGGTGTGTTTTCTTACCGAGCAGAAGCCCTGAAAGCTTCTGGCCCCAGTGCCACAAACCATCGTTTTTACATCGAGAAGTTCTCTCCATCTTCTTTTACAAAACCTGTTGGACAAAACGGTGACATTGACCTCCTGGAGCCGGTCTGCTAAGGTCATGTTATCCCCGATATCTCCCCAGCCAGCCGTGATGCAGGCACTTCCTGTTTTGAGCTGCTCAGACATCAGAGGGATCAGCTGCACTTCTTTAGTGAGCTGTGCTCTACTGCTCAGCTAAAGTTAAAATAGGAAGAGAAAAATAGTTTGATTGTGATGATATTTTTGGATTTAAAATAAAACAGTGCAGSTCACCTTTAGGAGCATGATGTCATTTGTGAGATCCTTGAAGTCTGGATGTGGAATAGATTGGAGAACAGAAAACTCTTGCCGTGCTGCCTCTCTGCCGCTCAGAGTGTCAAGTCCAAGCACAACTTTGCTCGGTCTACAAATCACATTACACATATTTAACTCAATACATATATCATATCATATTAAAAATGCCCCCCACCCCCGTGATGTGTAGTCAATTCTCGTCAAGTAAAGAAACAAAAAAAAAAGACAATAATAAAACAATAAATCTATTTATCTAGTGGTCTGTACTATAAATCAGTTTTCTATTTAAGTTCAACAACTTTGATTATTGTTTTCTTTTTTGTCACTTCAGTAGAACACGAAACCAAATATTAGTTTATTTAGTTTATTTATTTCTTCATCATCAGTGACTTTTT